TTCTTGCTGCTTTCCCGTCCTTCTTCGCATTTTATAGTGCCCATCACAGTGCTATCGGGGCTAAAAGGCAAGTCAACTCCAATGCCAGACCCTGAGGTCTGACGCAGAGAACCCAGAATCAGACGCCCTCCGATCTCGCCTTGTCAGAAGCACTTCAGTACTGTTTACCCTTTCAGTCTCTTTCTGACAGGGCTGTCAAGTCTTTTAATAATGGATCAATCACAGTGATGGAAAGCTTTGGTACTAGAACACCCACATTTGTGGCACGCGCTCACAGCGATAAATACAGCAGTTAGGGTGCCGGCTAGCTTGTCACACGAGCTATTGCTCTCTGAGGGTGCTGCATTTGCTTTTACAGGGACTCAATTTGGGAGGGGGGACATGAGCCAAAGGGGGAAGGCCAAAGGGAGCAAAAGGATGCTTTGACTGCACATCCTCCTGAGCAACGGGAGGGCTCATCCCTCCAAGCAGCAGGTTTCAAATCCTTCTCACATTAATTCTTTTACAGCCTAGAAGTTAGCAATGAGACTGTTCTTACTCATTGACTCAGTAAAGGGTCTGTGAGTCTATAAGCTCCCTTGCTTTTCCAGCTACAGCAGTTGGTCCCCTTAAAGATATTAACCTCCCTATAGAAACCTTGCTTCGCTCTATCCTTAGGCCATCATCACTGTATCAGCTCTGCTACTTCTCATCCAAATGATTTCTATTAAAGAAAAGGAACAAAAACCTACATTCAAAAAAAAAAATAGTGGTTTAAGTATGCCTTTTAATGCTGTCACCAGCCTCCTGTCCACTCTTACACTGAACAGATAAAGAGGAATAGGTGATTTATTTTCTGCCTCCTGTCATCTCCCTTCTCGTGTGTCAGCTCAAGAAACAAAGCAGCCCTAATCTTTTCAGTCTCTGCGAAGAGCAGCCTACCCCTGTTTCCAGTAACTCATCGCCTGATTCTGCAATATTTTCAGTAAAGATGGGAGAACTGATGCAGAGCACTGAACGTACAGGCGTGCCACTAACGTATACTATTGCCTTATCACTGTTTCAGTATTAGTCCATATCCCACCCCTGCATCCTAACATAATATGCGTTTCAGGATTCTTACTGATTACTGAACAAGGAGGAGTTTAAACTGAGCTGCCTCTTGCGATGTCTAGGACTTTTTAACAACCATTTCCATGTATAAAAAAAAAAGTCCCCGGACCCAGTAGAGAAGGGTGACTGAAACAGAGAAGGACTCTGAAGTCTGTGGTGAAACTAGAAGGCAAGCTCATGCTCTGCTGCAGAGTGAAAGCAGTTTTCTGAAAAATCAGAAACCATGGCAGGCCAGAAAGAAGCTTAGGGAAAATGAACTAAAGGAGAGACACGGGGGAGAGAGAGACGAGCACGGATGCTCCCGACCCCTGCCAGCTCTAAGTGATAGCCCAGGGGCTCTCTCTCCCTCTCTTTAGCTTTTAGGGACATTGATACATCCCTGGAAGAGACATCGCAGATCGCACCGATCTGTGGCACCGCAGTCCCTGAGACAGGACTGCATCGCATGAGCTACAGCGGGGCTGAACGGACAAGGCTGCCGGCAGGTAATCCGAGTCCTCGGCTGCAGGAGGCAGTGAGCCAAACAGGGCTGCTGAGGCGTCACCGGGCTGTGCCAGGACCTAGCAGCATGCCCAAACCACCCCTGTAAAGCGGTGGAAACCCTGGAGAGTCCCTATCATCTCTTGCTGACAGGTCCTGGCGCTCCCTCGTGGCCCTCCGGCAGGCATGTGTGGCTCTGAGCTGCATAAACAGGAGCACTTTTGGGGCCAGGAAGAAGCAAAAGAGAAACAGAAGAGTCAGGACTAGCAGGCATGGGGATCTGTCAAAATTAGGGTAAAGATTTTAGTTCCCACTCCCCGGCATGCAAAACCAAAACATCTCCATCACCTCAGGCTACCGCTTTAGAAAATAGAGTTGGGGCTCCCTTCACCCCTAATAGGAAGGGACAGCAGTCTATTTGGGGCATTCTCATGCCATCACGGACGAGGTCACCTTTTTGACAACCACAGTAAAGCTCTGTCACACACAGAGCCGGATTTGCCGAGCTCCCGCCCCTGTGGATGCCCAGTGATTCTTGCAGGGGAACAAATAAGAACAACTCATCCGAAACATCTTCAGAAACTTGTTGGCAACTGGTATCAGAGGAAAACGCTTTTGATCTTGTAAGCTGCCAGAGGGCAGAGCCAAGCAAAGCAAAGCAAAGCTCCCAGGTCGGCTTCATGGGACTGAAGGTTTACGCAGAGCACCAGGGAGACTGCCACAAAGTTACAGAAACGTTTTGCTTGAATACTACACTAGCACCGAAACTACATGTGAACAAACTTTGCTCTTGAATCCTGCCACAAGAAAAATGTCCGTTTCTGCAGCACCTCTGTTACATGGCGCTGAACCACCACAACTTCGTCGGTCTTCTCCCTGCAAAAAGCAACCTTTGCGCTGCCGCCCAGCTCTCTCCTAACTGGAGACGGTTTCAGCACAGGCGGGAAGTTTCCAACATCCAAACCGAATTAAATAAGCGTCCGCTCCGCGCGCGTCACCCCCGCTCCCCCGGCTCTCCAAAGCGGCACGCGCCGAGGGGCGCAAAGCAGAGCGCCGCTGCGTCGAGAAGGATCGCACGGAGGCTGGAGCAGGAGGGGAAAAGAAACAAAAAAACCAAATCCCTCCTCGGGATCAGACGTTTGGAGCCTGCTCAGCTCTGTGGCTGGCGATGCCCTTGGCAGCCGGGTAAAGCGCTCCTGTCACAGCCGGAGGCGACGAGCGGAG